TACTGGGGGGCACAGAGAGAGAGAGAGATAAACAGAAATATATGCATAAATATAGTAGTTTCCATGTCTTATCCACAGTGTAAATTGAGTAGAATATCATCAGCCCAAGCTCAACAAAATGTTTGCAATTTTTACTTGGCATGCTGAAGACTTGATGCAACCCATATGGATAAATATTTATCTCATTCTGTTTTTAGTTTGTTTTGAATTTCGTGCAAAGCTACTCGAGGGCTATCTGCGCTAACCGTCCCTAATTTAGCATGTAAGACTAAAGGGAAGGCAGCTAGTCATCACCACCCACCGCCAACTCTTGGGCTACTCTTTTACCAACGAATAGTAGGATTGACCGTCACATTAAACGCCCCCACGGCTGAAAGGGCAAGCATGTTTGGGCCACACTGTTTTTAGACCGATATTATAAACATTAGCTTATCTGGTGAGTGATAATTCAACCTGAACTCTTTTTAATCAGTCTTATGTTAGTTCAATAAGTAAAGAAGTAGAAACTGTCAAGATGAAAATAAGACGTTCGCGTAAATTTAATAGTTTTGTAAAATGAGATAGGAAATAACTTGTCGTAATTTAAAATCGTTAAATGTCAATCTTATATTTTATTCCTCGTGTAAAAGAATATAATTTTATTTATACACGCGATAAACGTTTGAATTATATTTCCACGGGAAATAGAGCTGCGAGTGGCTGAGAAGTTAGTGTGCCCAGACTATGAATCCGAAGATTCACGGTTCGCGACACGTTGCCACAAAAAAAACGCACTCTTCACTTTGGGACCTTTGAGTGCTTTATAAGAGGTCGGCCAAATTCTGCTATTTGAGCTGACAATAGAAGTCCAAAAGTCCATAATTTCAAAATTAGAGAAAGCTATGCGCAGCTAATTATCGTGTAGCTTTGCGCGAAATCCTGAAACAAACAAACAACCATATGTAACGTAAATCTACTCACGCATTCCTAGTCTGCAATGCTTTGAACATAAAAACGTCGTTGTACCATACTTACATAAGCAAACAACATCGAGCACGAATTAGAAAATAGAATTAAGATATCTGAACATCAAAATGGCAGTTGGGTATATACGTATCTGGTCTGATAATTCTGAACTTTACGATGTTCTGATAAAGGTCTTTCGTAAAATATTACAGAATTAATAAATATTAATACTGAAAATAAAACTATATAAAATGAAGCATATCCAAGATTTTTTTCTTTCGATGGATTATTAATTTCAATTTCATACAAACTTAATTTTATACACACTTTCATACTGCGCGAAATGTAGAAATGATTCGTGCACAACTATCTTAAAATACCTTATTAGGTTTGTCTTTATCCGGATAAGACAGTAAGATATCATAGGGAACCAAGTCAACTTTGTCTAAACCTTGCGCTTTCCAAGTATCCCGGATGTACCGCGCTAGTTCGTTATTTCTGGCAGTCCCTGCCAAATGCGTTTGTTCTGTCAGATAGCTGGAAAAATGAAAAAATAAAACATGTTATTTGTGAAAGCTTATACGAATTTTCATTCTGGTATATATGTAAATTGGTTTGGGTTTGTAATTAAGTACAAAGCTACACAATGGAATATCTGTGCTCTGCCCACCACGGGTATCGAAACCCGGATTCTAGCGTTGTAAGTCCGCAGACATACCGCTGTGCCACTTGGGGGTATATATGTAAATACTTGTTTATCTTTCTCACACCTATTGGCTTTATACTGATAACAAATCGAATTGTACAGAGGTGTTCATATAAAAAAAGGTGATATATACATTTGAGGAACAGTGTTCGCAGCACTTATTATATTCTCGAGATTCATAAACAGAATGAATGATATTGAATGACTAAAAGTGCACAAGATAAAGTGACATCGGTTCCAGTGAGCTGAAAATGAAAAAGAATATTACACTAACATTGTTATTGTTGAGCACAAAGCTACACAAAGGGCTATCTGTGCTCTGCCCACACGGGTACCGAAATCCAGTTTCTAGCAGTGTAAGTCAGCAGACATACCGCTGTGTCGCTGGGGAGGGGGGGGGGGGTGGGGTACGCTAACATTGACTATTAATACTATAACAACTGACCAATATTAATAATTCTATGTTATTCTTTGAATAAAAGTATAGTTAACATTGAGCTCTACTATTTCCTGTATTAGAACCTAAAATTAATCTACATTTTTCCGTATGGAACACGCGTTCTCACCCCCCCCCCCCATTTTTTTAATGTCAGGCGCCACTTAACCAAAAGTATGTAATTTGGTATCCCCTCCAGACATAAACACACACAAGTGATATATAATACGATGCCTCTATCAAACACCATACATATGTTCTCTTTATTTACTGTACAACACGGGGTGAGCAGCGAGTGTCACTGATCGAGTTCAAAGTCTTCTCTGGGTGGTTCTCTGGTTTAATAAGCTCGTGCGGATTTTTAATTTTAAATACGATAAAAACATAAATGTTTGCTACATGTTTCCCAGTTTTTAAAATTCATATGTACATGTAAAAGATAAATCTGATATATTTTTCTGTTATCTGAACTCTTCCGCCCCGCTAAGTACTTTTATACGTCTCCCTCTGCGGGTTACGACCCGTTTGTTTAAAGCCCCTGATATAAAACATTAACAACTGTAATTTTCTCGAATGAAAGGATAAAGTGAAATAACCTCAGAGGTATTGAATTTAATCGTGCAAAAAATTAGTGATTAGGCCTTTCATGTTCTAGTGATTAGGATGCTCGACTCGCAATTTTCAGGTCGGGGGATCGAAACCCGTCACCGAACATGCTCGCCCTTTTAGCCAAGGAAGCGTTATAATGTGAGATGTAATCCCACTATTCGTTGATAAAGAATAGTCAAAAGTTGACGTTTGGTGGTGTTGACTAGCTGCCTTCCCTCCAATCTATATTTTCAAAATTAGGGACAGCTAGCGCAGATAGCGTGAAATTCAAACATTTTGATTGGTTCTCGTATGTTTGTATTCATGAGCTCAAGACATTTATGAACGAGTATTTGAGACTAAATAATATTAACTACTACTTTGTTATGGTTAGCATTCTGTGTCATTAAATAAATGTAATGGCCTTTATTCAGTAAACAGAAGTTTTTATTTACACCAACTAAGCACTGACTTAATTAACTGTATAATCCAATACTTCTGTTGTAGCTCATTATAAGCTCATTGTTGTAGCTCATTCTGTTGTAGCTCATTATAAGTTCGAACATATATATATTTACTTTCACGTTAAACAATTATAATACCAATTTATCAAACTAATGTACAAATGTATTGTACAAAGTAGCATATTTTAAAACCTGAAACGAATAATATGGCTATCTTACAAAAGCGTCAAACATTTATTTTAAATCCCTCTTGAAACGTCGGTTGACACTGAACGACTCTATCTAACGAAACGTAGTTTTAGATCGTCAAATCCAAGTTCTTGGTCAGTCACCACATCTTGCATGCACCAGCTATACATTCCATAATAACTTGCAACACAGAAAAAAAGGGATTTATTTGGTATATTAAAATACGAAATTGTATGTTAGTGGCTATTTTTGTAAGTGTTTTGTCGTTGGCGCAAAAAATAAATAAAAGGAAACAAGGCTGGAGATACTGTAGACATTATTTATTGAAACTACGAGTCCCTATTTTGACTCCACCAAATGTAACTCTGGATAATAGCATGGAGCAAAAATAGGGGTTTTTAGTTTGAATAAATAATGTCTACAGTATCTCCAGCCTTGTTTCTTTACTTTTTTTACGATCCCTACTTGCAGGTTTTTAAATTCCCAATTTTTTTATTGATCTTGTATTAAAAGAATAGGCTTTGTTTGTTTGTTTATAATTAAGCACAAAGCTACACAATAGGCTATCTGTGCTCTGCCCACCACGGGTATCGAAACCCGGATTCTAGCGTTGTAAGTCCGCAGACATACTGCTGTGCCACTGGGGGGCAAAGAATAGGCAGTCTCCGATAGTGTTGAATACCAGGAGATGTCCTTACCTGATATCTGTTATCTAATTTAATGACTAATTTAACCTAAACGTTAAGGTGTTTTATAAAATCAAAGAAGGCCTTCACAGAGTTCCCATTCGTTGACTAATTTAATCTAAACGTTAAGGTGTTTTATAAAATCAAAGAAGGCCTTCACAGAGTTTCCATTCGTTGACTAATTTAACCTAAACGTTAAGGTGTTTTATAAAACCAAAGAAGACCTTCACAGAGCTCCCATTCGTTGACTATTTAACCTAAACGTTAAGGTGTTTTATAAAACCAAAGAAGACCTTCACAGAGTTCCCATTCGTTGACTATTTTAACCTAAACGTTAAGGTGTTTTATAAAATCAAAGAAGACCTTCACAGAGTTCCCATTCGTTGACTATTTAACCTAAACGTTAAGGTGTTTTATAAAATCAAAGAAGGCCTTCACAGAGTTCCCATTCGTTGACTAATTTAACCTAAACGTTAAGGTGTTTTGTAAAATCAAAGAAGGCCTTCACAGAGTTCCCATTCGTTGACCAATTTAACCTAATTCTTTTTTCTCTTTACACAAGGCCAGGCTTATAGAATCTTAGTAGAGAGAGAGAGACTTATTACTTTAACAATATAGGACAGCCATTTGATACACTTTCAAACGTAACGTACGTTATTTCAAAAGAGTTTGTATTATACTTTCAGAAACCTGAATTCATCATTCAAAAAATGATAGATAGGAAAGATATAGAACTGAGAAGACTTAGGATATCAGATAAACCTGCAAGTAACTAAATATTGGACTTTCTGTAAGCCAAACTTTTGTAAACTCACCGAAGGTTTTTCTTTATATTTTCTGGGCTGACGTCCTTAAGAATTCTCTGTGCAGCATCATCATATGGGTAATAAGTTGAGAGTGACAAGCGATCTAGCATTTCAAGCTTCTCTGCCTGTTCTTCGGTTAAACCAGAAGATATTCCGTAATAACCAATTAGGAGTCCCAGAAGAAACACCACAAGGATCACGCAGAAAAATATGATAACTACAGGTTTTGCCGCCATTTTCCCTAGAAAAAAAAAAAAGGTGAAATTATATGAACCCAACTAACCAATTGTTTTGTTTTCAGAGGAAATGTTACGAGTTTTCATCTAACAAGCTTTCCCCGGATTAACCGGGGTTAATTTGAACGTGTTGGGGTGAACACGTGTAATCTTATATGTTAGTTAAATCATGTGATCATCCTCAACCAATTACAAGTTTTCGGATATTCGTCCGAAGTAATTCAATACATATCTACGCTGGATTTCTCTAATTTTGAATTTATAGACTGAAGGGAAGGCAGCTAGGCAACAGTATCCACCGCTAATTGAAGGGAAGGCAACTAGGCAACAGTATCCAACGCTAAATCCTCTGCTACTTTTGTCTGACCGAATATTGGGGTTGACCACCATCCTCCGTAACGAACCCGTGGCCCCAAACTGCGTATTTTTTATTTTGTTGTTGTTATTTTGTGGAACTATGACCTGAACGAGGGACCACCGGTCCACGCTTCATCCCAGTTGTTTTTATATCTTCTCTAGCTTAGAACATGTGAATAAAATCAAAACATTTATTCCACTACTAAAAAAACAAAAATAAATAAACTGTGCGTTTCCAAGTACAGGTTACAAGTTTTCTAAGTTTTGCAACAGTTCCGGTCATGTGACTTCTTTGTTCAATACTGTATATATATATATCCGTGTCAGTGTAATTTACTTGTACCCGATGATGACAAAACCTTGTCGAAACGTTGTACATTTGCTGTAATGTTAAACTTGTATTAAAGGTTTTTTCATTACCCATTCAAACCGTCTCCAACCATTATTAGTTTCAAAGTGGGTTGCTCGTCATCGAATTTATCATATAGTGTGTTTGCGTTTTATATACAAGTTATTATATAGTTTCTTCTTTTTCTCATATACAAGTTATATATTTGTTTGTGTTTTCATATACAAATTATAATGTAGTTTGTGTTTTCATGTACAAGTTATAATTGGTTTCTTTGTGTTTTCATGTACAAGTTATA